AGAAAGAGAGAGAAAGAGAGAAAGAGAGAAAAAAGAAAAAGAGCACTTTTTTCCCCCTTTTCACATGTGTTTGTCAGACAGTAGCAGAACAATTTAAGTAGATCTTGAAATTCTGAGAGCCAGTATCTCTGGATATAATCCATCTCACTGTTCCAGTATCAGCTTACGATAAGTGGAGAGACAAAAGAATACTTTATAGAAATAAGATAAGAAATAATGTATTAATATTAAGCCTAAATTCCAGATGTATTGAGATGCACAAGCAGCTAAGTTTAACAAAGGGAAACTAGCATGAAAGAAGGCAATACTGTGTGGCTAATATCCTCATGTTGATTACTACAGACTCAGTTTCTCCATGAGCAGAGGTATTTAACAGACAGCACATCCAGCACAGAGTTCAAGAAGACTTCTCTTGCTGCACAACTACCACCCAAGAATGCATTCAATAAGCTGGAACAAAACTGAAAGTTATTTTATGTATTTTTTTCTCTAATCCTGTTTTAAAAGACAAATTCTTCTTCAGATTCCTTACAGGGTGACTTATTTACCTCGCAAAGTTGTCATCAGAACCAGGAGCGAGAGGTGCAACCGCAGAAGCTGAATCTGAAAATACATCCACCAGCAGGCTACCGCTAGAAGACGGTGGGGGAGCTGAATTGGTGAGAGGGGCAGCACCCAGACCCAGCAGATCCGCAGATGGAGAAGGAGTAGACTAGGGAAGACAAGACACTGTGGTGTTACACTACAGCAAAACTCAAACAAAGCTGTCCCTTTTGCATAGACAGCTAAGCTATGGCAAAGTTCCTCTTCCCACCCCAAATCCAGTTTTGAATGGATGTAGGAGGCTTCATGAATGCAGTTATCACCCTAAGTTTCAACTTAAGCCCATTTACAGATGTAGCTTTCTTTTTTCCTTTTTTTTTTTAATTTGAAGAGAGTTATGTCCCTCTAATTATTAAATAAAAAACCAAAATTCATCTGTCTAGGATCTGATTCTGCAGAAGAAAGATGACAATATTTTTCCTCTTCTCTCCTCTAACTTCAGGGCAAGTTAAGTACTAGAGAATAAAATTCAAATGTGTTGCTTTTCTTCCATGAAGAATCCAGCAAAAAAGGTAATGGCTTTTACACAAACCTAAATTAAAACATCACAGCATCTTTAAAACTATCAGTTTAGTCCTGAGCTTTTGAAGCTTGGCAAACCTTAGAAACAACGTAAAACCTAACCAGCAAAACAGCAGAGCCTGTAGCTAGTTCGAGCTGCCAACGCTAAAGGAAGAGGCAAGATCTTTGAATTTTTTTTTATTTTTTTTTTTTTCAAGTAGAGCAAATCAAGTAGACAGGACACAAAAACGTACAACAGAGGCTGCATATATGTGCCCAAGTCACATGCAAGAACAATGCACAGACTGTTAAACAAAATGTTGATGTACCAGACATTAGCAGCCTACAATCTGCCAGATAGGCTGAAGATGAGTCATGAGACACATTTGGATTGAGTCTGAAATGCTGTTTTTCTAAGCCAACTCAAAGATATCATATACTCCAAAGACTCAATTTGATGCAGTATAACAAAAAATTCTTTGGTAAAAAATTTTCAGAAGCCAATCGGTAAGAACTACTGAAAACAAACAGCTGGAACTCCAATTTGGAACACATTTTTGGCATCTAAGCCAGGGTGAGAGCAAACAGCATGGGTGGGCCCCAGGCCTTGGGAACAAAGACCCAGGTCGATGCAAACACAGACCCGCTGCCAGTGAAGAAAGGGTTGGTACGGGCACTGCTACAGGAGCCTGACCCTTACAGATCCATGGCCCAGACGTTATTCACCCGAGGGTGTTCAGAGAGCTGGCTGACAGCATTGCAAAGCTTAGGTCACTGCTTAATCTGTGAGAAGTCATGGAGACCAGAGGATGTCCCAGAAGATGGAAGAAAGCTGATGTCACCTCTATCTACAAGAAGGGCTTAAAGGAGGATCCAGGAAAATACAGGCCCACCAGGTGGGAAGAAAAGCTGCTGTATGTTCTCCTGCTACTCTACAGCAAACACCCACAGTCTTAAATTTGAGATGAGAAGTTTTAAACTGCTAAAAAGCCACTTTTAAGGAAACCATTCTTTTCTCACTTGCACATCATCTAAATTAGTGAAATAACAGATTTTTAACTCACAACAGCACTGGCATTGACGGAGGCAGGTTCAGCGCTTCCATTCATATCAGAGCTCCTCTCCTTTTTGATCTCTTCCAGGTCAGTAACTGTGCCTGGGCCTTTCTTCTTCTTCAGTTTAGCCAAAATAGAAGATTCCCTCTCTGGAAAGGGAGGCATTTCTTCCAGCACTGTAGCCTTATCACAGAAAAAAACGTCTATTAGTTAAACTTACAGAAAAAGCCAACCCAGCTTCTGAGTCTTTGAAGAGATACACACTTAGATCGCATGAGGCAAAAGCAGGAGGAGTTATCTACACAGAAAATGGCTATGAAGTTTATTGTACAGTAACACAGTAGATTTGCCTTTTAAAAAAAAAAAAAATTAAAAAATTAAAGCTTTCTGAAGTCCTCCCAAAGCAGTTAAGAGAACAGGAGCATATAACTTCTCTGGTACAGTGCTATGAAATTAAAAAAAAAATAAATTAAATTATAGCAGTCCTGATGGTCCTTAAATCAAACAGACCTAGACTGAAACCACGTACCCAAGGACATAGTCAGATCTAAGTGTTTATTAGCTGTCAAGACTAAGTGTGCCATGCTCTGGTCAGACCAGAGAGCAACAGGTTAAAACACTGAATTTCTAGAGACAAAAATTAATAAAAAAAAAAAAAATATTTCAGCACAATTACAAGTTTCCTGGCCACCATCAACTCGGTCCTCAAAACAAAGCACTAGCATTCTGGTATCTGAATACTGCAGGACCCTGTACTGCACTAGCTTTCACTGGCCTCCCAGCTCCAGATCAGCATGCTTCAACAGTCATTTGTCCCACCACAGCAATAACAACTTTGATTTTAGCTCTAAATTAAAGATGACTGCAGTTGAATTAGGTAGACTAAAAGAATCAGTGCCCACACTGTGGATCCTTCATCCATCCTGCATTAAGATTTCTGAGCAATCAGGTAAGGTTCAGTGGGGTTTACTTGTTGACAGAAGACACAGCTAAAGAGTTCTGCATAATAAAAAGAAGAATCTTGATACCTACCAATATATCAGTACTGGCAATAGTACTGAGCCTCAAATACTCAACAGCTCTCTGCTGCAGCTCCACATCAGCATTCTTTAGCTGACTGTCACTGCGCAGTACATCTTGAATAGTAGTTTTGATTTCTGGGAACAGGTTCACAAACTTGATGTAGGTAGACAGAAGCAGAGCTCGGGTAGGAACACTACACAGATGAAACTTGGAATGTAGCAAGTTGAACTGGATGAGAGGACTTAAAAGATGGGAAGAAAAATAATTTGTTCAGTTTTTGCAGACTGTAATTCTTAATGCACTACTCGCAAGAGCTGAATCATTTGGTAACCGGCTTTTAGGAATATTAAATCAACATTCAATTCTTTACAGAAAGTGTTACTACTTCAACTCAGTATTTTAGAAGGTGTTTTACCTTGATCTTGGATCACCTGCTATCAGATTTCCAAACTCTCCCAAGATGTAGCCACCTACTTTTACAAGATTCTCATGGCACGCTGGAGCCTGAAGGGCCTGTAAGAACACACTAATAGTCATCAATCTGTTGTGTATCAAAAAAGATCTTTTCTATCACTGCCATGTTCAGTTTCCTGGTTGACTTTCCTCTAAGAGCAGACCATAGGTCTAGACATCTAGGCACTACACGGCACTTAGCAAAAAAGCATGACACAGGACTTTATAGAAGAATCTCTAACAAGTATTACTTGTTTAAGGGCACTCTAGGCCCATATAGCCACACTGTGGATTTCTGAGGCCAGATACAGCTGCTTAGGTTTCCCCTCTTACAACTTTAGAGGTGTCAGAAGGTTGTTAAGATACTTAATTTAACCCTTGCAAGAATGTGCTGAAGTTGCCCAAGATAAAAATACTGTCTTTATTGAGCATGAAGAAACACTTAGTAGGGATGAGTTCTGAAAGTCTGCTTAAATATTCAGGAAAGGAATTTTAAAAAAGGGAAAAGCCCATACAAAGAATCCAAACAAAGGCAGAGCAGCAAGGCCATACATTTGAAAGTGTTCTCCTTTATAGTTCAAATTCCAGTTTTATCGGATCCTAAACAGAAGGAATGGGTATATGCTTTCAGGATTGTCAAGTTATCATTTTGAGTGGTTTGGATTCCTGCATGCAAAGAATTAGAAACAAACAAAACCAACCAAAAATAAAAAACCTAACAAATATAAAATTAAAAAAAGGAAGAAAAGCAAGCCACTCTATAAAAGGCTTTTATTTTTACTAAATTTCAGTAATTTTCCAGGTAATGTCATTTCCTTACTAAGCCATCCATTCAATGCCATCCACCAAAATAACAAAAAATTCCAGCATAACCCACCCTGCCCTCATCAAAACCAGAACAGAACTAGGTGTATTCTACATGACTTAAGGCAGAGAAGCTTTTCATCAACATAATACAGTCTCTTGCTCTGCAAAGCTATTATGCTAGTTTCATGGAAAGCTTCAGCAGCATTTTGTTCAAATCAGGATCATATTTTTACACACACACCTGCTAGATCACCTGGTGTTTACTTAACTCCCACCTCATTTTGAAAGTGAACTGAAAACAGTTATTCTCACCTCAAAAACAGTCTTTGCTGCATACCCTTGGACATCATCCCTGTTGATGACAATCTGAATAACTCGATACCACACTTCCTCACTGACATAGTCACCAGCAATGCGAATCAGATTCAGGATTGTATCCACATACCAGGTATAATCCACTGCATACTTCTCAGCTAGAATCGCAACTTTCAGAACCTGAACACACAGAAGACAATAAAGAAGGTTGATTAGCTTCTACTGTAAGCTGTGCATCAAGATTCACTTTCATATTCGCCTACTGATAACCCATAGGAGCCCAGAACCGCAGTTTCAGATGTGTCAGCTTGCTCCCTTGCTCCCACAGCTCAGATGGAAGATGAACACTGAAATTCAGTGCCAGAACACACCAGCTGCCAGGTACACAACAGGTACACTTTCCCCAAAACACATTCAAATATGTTGTGTCTGTGCCCTTTCAACTGTGTATCTAAGCGATCAAGAGCAGTTTATTGAACGTTATTTGTTTGCTATAAAAACACTATCTAAACCATCACTGAGACAGGACCAAGTAGGAAATTAGAGACCTCTTCAAAAATAAATAAATAAATGAATATATAGAGCTGAGCTGTTCAGGTCGTACTATGATTCCTATATCCTGAAGCAAACAACCAGCATAGGAAGAGACCTCCATGTAATTTGTTATGAGTTGCATTTATACTGACCCATGCTTTTAAGAGCAGTAAATTAACAGAATTAAATTAAATTTACATTTGCCAAGTTGGAGCAGATTGCCAACAGCGACAATATAGTACAATAGGTAAATCAACTAACACTGTACTCCATGTTAACTTCTCTGGTGAAGAAACTTCAGCACCTAAGCTAAATAACTACCCTAAGTACAGGTTTTGGCTGTCATTAAGTGAGTATTTTAACTTTTGCATTTCTTTCCTGCTGGGAGGAAGGAGACAAATATCATGCTTCTCTTTTAGCTGATTATAAGATACTGGTTTGGGGAATCCTTAGACTGAGAACATTCTCACAGTGTACACAGTATGAAGTTCTATCTACAAGTATTAATCACCACAATTTTTGAAGCTATTGAACAGTTGACTAGAGTAGGACACAACCCTCAGATCTAGAGACTGCATTTCTAAAGCATTGATAAAATTCACTTCACTTTCTACATGCAATGCCCTGAGATCAAGACTAATTTTTAAATTCTTAGTTTCCAAGCGCTCCTCCCCAGCATTCGTTTAATCCAAATGAAGAACATCCTTTGCTATTAGACTAGAAACTTAGGGTTTGGGGTCTATCACAGACAATCCAGCATCCCAATCAATGATACATAGGGCGCCAAAGTCAGCTATGAAAAAATTAAGGAAACATATCTCACAATTTCTTCTCTAATGGAATAATCAGCAGTCTCCAAGTAATTCAGCATTTCAGCCACAATCTGTTGGGCATTGCTCCGGTCACACATCGCGTACAGGAGATCTACAGCTCTTTGTCGTACACTGACATCTCTTTCAGTCTGCAAAAGGACACACAGCAAAAGGTCAAGATGATTTCACATCTATTTGGAAAGCACATGAAACTTACTGAAGAGATGAAACATACTATAATCCATAGTCAAATTTTAAACAAATGCATTTTCATAATCTTTCAGATGGAGAATGAACAGATATACCCTTCACACAAGCTCTGAGTTTCTTACATTACTCTCACTGGAGACTCAGAGAGCTTCCTGCTTTTAGATAACACTACAAAAATTCCAATCAAGTGCTGAAAGGATGGAGGAGTTTGTACAAAATACTCCACTATTAACCAGGGTGAATGAGTTTGTGGTTCATGGTGCACTGGGTAACTGTCACCACTGGCCACAATTGCACGAATAACTGGGTGGAATTGTCAAGCAGTTACCAGGACAACGGGCAATTAGCTACCTGCAGGTTTAGTGTTGGGCTTACCTTGTGTCAATAGAAGCCCAGCTAAAACAGATACATACTTTAAAGTCAGACATATGCATTAATATGCTACAGCACAAGCTTGGAAGAAAACAATACATGTAAACACTGAAGCGTGCAAGTAAATTTACATGCAAATCAGTCTTCCTCTTTCAACTTCTGCTTTTTCACATTAAAATGGCCTGGGAATGTATCTTTCTGGTTTCTTGACTCTCTTGATTCTGCAGTGGAAGTTGATCTGCTCCACTGCTCTCCATAAGCTACTGCAGTGAAGGAACAGAGTATGATACCAGCAAGACAGTAATAAAACAAAGTCTTCCCAGGATTCTCCATTTTGAAATTCCATGTTTTGAAAGAATTATTAATCTTCAGTCTACAGCTTGAGGAGATACCAGAGTGTTACAGGGGCCACATTTGTAAGTATCAGATTTACTAGTAAGCTGCAGAAATCAACTGAAGCTGACCTCTATCATTGCCATCACAGCAAGATTTTTGCAGGATTAAGGAAATAACCTAAAGCAGACTTCTGAGAATAACTCATTTGGTCCCCAAGTATTATTAGCTAAGGGGGAGGGTTGGGGCAGTGGGTATTGAGGTAGGGGAGAAGACAACACTCAAAACAGACTGCACACTTAAATATTTACCTTCAATGCATTGATAACTGTTTCTATGTGTGTTTTCACAGCCTCATGTGAGAATTCAGAGCTGGCAAGCGTGCACATGCTTTCCAGTGCTAGGTAACGCAAATTAGTTTCTCGGTGCTGCAAGAACTGACCTAGCTGGTTACAGGCACGGACTAGTAGATTTGGCTCACTGCACAGAACAGGAGAGAAAGTGAAAGGGTTAAAAGCAACAGGTTTGAGTACACTTGATACAGAATACTATTTCTGCAGTGGAAATGTCTTAAAATGCCTCAAAGTGTCTGCCAGAATGCCCCGCTGGTGAAATGAAAATTCAGATACTGTGAGCAAATAATCTCTGTTGGATTAGAGTGGTTGGGTCAAAACAAACACACACACAAAAAAAAAGGCATCAAGAAACAAAGCAATAAAAAATATGCTAATGGCAACACAGTTCATTAATACTCTTCAATTCCACTGCTGTGACTGTGTTCTAATCTAGCAAACAACTTCATATTCTGTTCTACCCCGCTCCCCCCAGTAAAATTCCATTTAGTGTTCAAGGAAAAGCCACAGCTTTTCAGTTTAAAAAATCCTCTCATAACAGAAGTGTTCTCACAGCTCACCTGTCATGATGTATAATTAAGCTTATCGCCTCAAACAGCACAGCATTCTTTGCATTTGAATGTTGTACTTTTTTTGACTTTGGTGGCTCCTGTGCTTTGTTAAGAATAGTTTCCAGGCATTCTGTTAGACGACCACGTACCGCAGGGTCTTCTGGAGAAGAACAAGCTGTTGGACAACTTCATTTTGCTCAACACCCTAGTCCCTACCTTAGGCCTTCCACCTTGCTATATCTGAATAAACTGAATTATTCTGATGCATTAAAAACCATCTCACCCTCCCCCAGCATACAGTTGGCAAAAGAATTCTAAGCCACAGCTCTGAGTGAGAACAAAAGCCAAACATGATCTGCACTATAATATATTTCAAAGCTTTAATACAGTTGGTAACATTAAAGAATGTTTAAAATGGCAGTTTCAACTGGTTTGTAAGATGCACACTGGTTTGACACTTTGCTCTAAGCTATGTGGCCTTTTGAATTACATTATGTTTAATTTTAATAATCTGAAACACTCAAAGAGTACAAACTTCAGTATCCTGGTCTTAAGACAATGTGCCTGCACTCCAAGTTACACAAGCTACAGCCCAATAGCTCTTTGAAGATAGTGTACTGCATAAAAGAGATGACCTCTGCTGTGATTTGTGCATTACCTGGAGGTGGATAGCACTGTAACAGCCTCAGAAGTTTCACAGATAACCAAGGAGCAGGAACAAAGTAGTACGTATAGTCCTGAAGATCTGTTGATGCAGAAGTTACAATCTGTAAAATAAGTAGGCAGCATGTCAGCTATTGCAGTTCAGTGATGTGCAATCATGGGGACCCAAAGAACACTGCAGGTCACCTTGGACAGGGGCTTACAAAACTATGTCACTAGCAACGTGTAAGTTGTCATACTAGGAGTATACCATAAGGTTCCCTAGTAATAGAAATTCAGTTTCACACATACAGTAGTCTAGGAAGTCTCTTCCTGAAAGCGTACATGCTTTTCTTAAGAATGAAAGTGACCATCTCATGGCACCAACACACTTGACTAGAAGCTTGACTTACTTTGGCTCAGCAATTCACAGATTCAGCCAACAGAAAGCCTAAATATAGTGTTACAGTTGACTGTCGATAGGTCAACATAGAATTCATGCTGAAGATGCTACAACAGACTGAATGGAAGCAGAAGGACCAACTAACACCTTCAGTAACATTCATACTCCAGAGCAAAGAACAGATAGCTGTCACCAACTATGCACTGTAAAATGTGAGAAGGATTAGATCAGGTTTCAGAGGCAGTACACCTCTTCATGGATTTATTTTCTCCCTTTGATTCTAGGGTCAGCATGAGTTTGGCACTAGCTTTGCTCAAAGAAATTCTAATT